AGTCTCAGGTTGTTCATTTAGGAATCTTCCCAGGTTGTTACATTTAGGACATAAAGTTGAAGTTGGTGAAGGCACCCTCATAATTGATCTCATTTTGCTGGTCAGGATCCCTGCGCATACATGTCTGTATCTCGATTATGTTGTGATTCGAGTATATTGCTTTTGATACTGTTATATTTTGTACCAGATCATCATTATTAGTGAAGATAAGGTCAAGTGTATTTTCCAGTCTTGTTAGCTCCATTATTTGCTGTCTTAAGGTGAATTTGTTGCAGAGATTTAATAGCTCATGTGTGTGAATTTTCATCTGAGCTGCCTCATGGGATTATCTCTGCTAAAATATTATTTGTCACATTCCTCCATTTCAGGCGTCTTAAGTTGAAATCACCCCAGCAACAAGATATTTGAGGCTGAGGTTGGGAGATTTTCTAAGTAGTCAATTTTCAAAAAGCTGTTCCTTGAATTGCTGGAAAGTTGTATTTGGTGGCTTGTATACAACCACAATGACAAGCTTTTTGGTTTTCAGTCTTTACTGCCAAAACTTCAGCTGGTATTCAATAATTCCGAGCAAACAAGCGACTCTGTAACCTAAAGGCCAACTCCCCTTTCCCCTTGTTGCATGTTCTTTCTGTCGCATCTGAGTAAGTTGTACCCTGGATTCATATTTCGTTGTCAGTGATCTTTTGTGTGGGTCTCTGTGAAAGCTACAAACATTGCATTTAACTCTGTAAGCAGTCCACTGATGAAAGTTATTTTGCTGATGCCCTTAGACACTGTATATTTGCAAAAATAAATGTCACAGTGATGGCATGTAGGGGGCTTTATCAGCCAGCACTAATATCTGTTGTTCTGGGGTGGGAGGGGGGCCCCTGACTGCCTCCACTCCATTAGTGATACGAGGTGGTGTATTATTTCTGTCGTTTCCTACCATTTTTTTTTTCTTCCTGGCACTAAAACGTCTCCTCTGGAGTGGTTGTAACAACCTTGGTTTGTTTCCCAAGGTCTGTGTGATCTGTACCTTCCTATCCCTTGTAAATGGTTTGCCCGACAGTATGTGTTGTAGCATTTTCCTTCATGGACTGAAGAATAACACGTTTCAGGGTAAAATAGTTTACAAAGAGAAGTCGCAGAACATTTTTGGATGGTCAAAATTCCAAGTCCCACCTGTTTTCCAAGCCTACAGATGCCCAAGACAGAATTTGCATAGATTTAATTTCTGTTTGCCAGGATTTTTTTGTGACTGGGTTCCCTACTGCAGTTTTTCGTGACCCCGACTATCTGCAGTACCAGTCCTACCATCAGCACCACTACCAGTTATTTCTGGTGGTGTATCAACACCCTTCTCTGAAGTATCATCCCATTTTTTCCATCTCCGGAAATATTGCTATTTTGCATTTCTAAATCTTGTATGTCTTGGTCATTTCCTGTTACTACAGTACTAGTACCAGTCCCCAGCTGGTGCACTGTCTTGGATTTCTATAACCTTACAGGCACTGTCTTCCAAGACAGTACCAGGGTTGGCAACTTCAGCTGACTCGCTCTTTACTTTCCCAGTTGTTATACAAGACTCAAATTTTCCAAAAAGGATATTTTTTTTTCTTGGTGTTTTTATCTTTCAGTATAAATGAAATTTGCTCCCACTGCCTCACGTCGCTTTGACAGACCCAAAAACATTTCCCTTGACATATCTCCTAGGCTAGATGGTGAAAAAAGTTTGTAGTGAGTGTGACTCGTGTAGGAAGGTAGCTGGCATTGCAACACTTTAACATTATTGTTTTGGTAAGTTATTATGAAAACTGTTCGACAATACAGGTTTTGAGTATTGTAGTTTATGTAGAGGATATATGACCCAATCAAACACAAGTGACTCTTGCGTCAACGTGTTGTGGACAATATGGATTTTTTTTATATAATTTCCTAAATGTAGAACATATAAATGAATAATATAATAACTGCTTAATAAAATGTGATGCTATTTGGACCCTTTGAGAAATTTGAAGGAAGGGGGCTGTAGAGCAGCCAATATTGATGCCAGGGGAGACGCCATTTGTAATTTGTGAACACTGGCTGTCGTGGAAAATTCAGCTAATAATCCAGCGTCTTTGTGTCCAAACTGGGGTTTCTCAACCTGAATTAATGTCCCCTGCTAAAGAACTGGGACAGGAAATTTGCAGGACCTCAAGAATTTTGTATGGATGGTGAAAGATAAGGGATGTGTACCATTAATTACCTGGAGTACCTGGAGAGAGTTTCGGGGGTCAACGCCCCCGCGGCCCGGTCTGTGACCAGGCCTCCTGGTGGATCAGCGCCTGATCAACCAGGCTGTTGCTGCTGGCTGCACGCAAACCAACGTACGAGCCACAGCCCGGCTGATCAGGAACTGACTTTAGGTGCTTGTCCAGTGCCAGCTTGAAGACTGCCAGGGGTCTGTTGGTAATCCCCCTTATGTGTGCTGGGAGGCAGTTGAACAGTCTCGGTCCCCTGACACTTATTGTATGGTCTCTTAACGTGCTAGTGACACCCCTGCTTTTCATTGGGGGGATGGTGCATCGTCTGCCAAGTCTTTTGCTTTCGTAGTGAGTGATTTCGTGTGCAAGTTCGGTACTAGTCCCTCTAGGATTTTCCAGGTGTATATAATCATGTATCTCTCCCTCCTGCGTTCCAGGGAATACAGGTTTAGAAACCTCAAGCGCTCCCAGTAATTGAGGTGTTTTTATCTCCGTTATGCGCGCCGTGAAAGTTCTCTGTACATTTTCTAGGTCGGCAATTTCACCTGCCTTGAAAGGTGCTGTTAGAGTGCAGCAATATTCCAGCCTAGATAGAACAAGTGACCTGAAGAGTGTCATCATGGGCTTGGCCTCCCTAGTTTTGAAGGTTCTCATTATCCATCCTGTCATTTTTCTAGCAGATGCGATTGATACAATGTTATGGTCCTTGAAGGTGAGATCCTCCGACATAATCACTCCCAGGTCTTTGACGTTGGTGTTTCGCTCTATTTTGTAGATCACTAGCTGGCCAGTGTAGGGTCTAGGTGTTAGGTATTGTGGTGTAATCCATCTACAGTAACTAAATGGTAAGTGTTAGTACCAATTATATTTTGTGTACCCAGCATTCCTAATTATATACAGTCCACAACTTTAATTACCAAAGTAGCTAGTTTTACTACTGTAATTATTAATTTAATGTCAGGTCTAGCTTTTTGTGAGACTGGTGAGGAAGTGGGCAGTCAGGGAGTTACAGTTCAATGATCTACTGTGACTAAGTCCCACTTACCTCACCCAAATTATTTGCAGGTAATAATTCATACAGGTAATTTACTCGAAGACTAATAATAATTTTCACAGGTAGAGCGGGAGAGTGAATAGGACCGGAAGGAGATACATTGTTGCTCTGGTGGCACTTTATTATCTCAACATATGTACATCTGCCAACCCCGAGGTCTTACTTGTACTGGGTCCAGCTTTCAACTAAACTCCTCACACAGAGAAGTGTAGATGAATATGAAAGGGTCACAAGGTACACTCTTCTGCCAACCGTCATGCTGATTGTTACATTTATAATACGTGGCCAATAAATAATTGTCATTGACAAATGGTACAACGATCGGCTATCAAATCTGAACCTGGCAGATTGACTCTCAGCCCAGAATCAATACAAAACCATTTCCAATTAAGATACACCAGTATTTTGGGCTTGAAGACGATCAGAAGAGGCATTATTTAGTTATATTTGAAACTATTTACTTAATAAAGTAGGAAAATTTAAATTTACACAGCTGAAAGTGAGAAGTTGTTTCAGTAAAGCCTACGGATGATTAAAGATTTATTTATTATCTGGACATGATACATAGTTGTACAAAAAAATACAGTGGTTGGGTGTACATGCCAAAAGCCCCTTGTATGCAGAGCATTATGGGCAGGCTTAAAATTAACTTAAGATTAACTAAGCAATGATATATTCAGTGGCAAAAATACAGTAAACAAAGTACAACATGAAGTACAAATGAGTATTTCAAATAAGAGGCTTTATAGTTGCACAGATTTGTAGGTAACGTAATTACAAAAAAAAAAAAAAAGTCAGTAAAGGCATTCTTCAGCAATTGTTAGAGATAAGACTTTCTGACTCTGATTCCAGGTTTTTTACTATTTCGGCAAAATTTAAAATTTGCACCTACCTGGATGAAACTTATAGGGTATAATCCTTATAGAATACATCTTCAATAATAATTTTAAGCCAATCAGAAGAACCATTCCTTAGTTATTGAGTATGAAGTGAACATCACTATTTCTGTAAAATTCGCCTATGGGACAGCTTGAGCTTTGTGTTCATGAAACCAGACCAATGATGAAACCAAGCAGACGAGTCATTCACTACTAATGGCAAAGATTCCAAGTTTGCGTGTGTACTATTTTACTGTAATAACTGTGCCAACGTCCAAACCAAACTTAATATGCGCTATCCTGCCCGAAATGCACCGCATGCAAGTGGCTTTTTCTTGTGAGTAAAAATATTTTATTATATGTAAGCTACATTACCTGTATACTGCAGAAAAGAAATAAAATTATTATTGTTATTATTATTATTATTATTTTATTATGTGCATCAGCCATGAAATACTGAAGCCATTTAGAAGGGGTAAACTGTAAATTATTTAACAGGAATAAACATTCCAGACAAAATTGTAAAATCTTCACCTAACATGTTTGAGAATGAACATTAAAATGGTATAAAATACCGACAAGTTGTTAGGTAAGACACATATGCAACAGTTAGGTATCTTTATTTCGAAACGTTTCGCCTACACAGTAGGCTTCTTCAGTCGAGTACAGAAAAGTTGATAGAAGCAGAAGAGACTTGAAGACGATGTAATCAGTCCATCACCCTTAAAGTTTTGAGGTGGTCAGTCCCTCAGTCTGGAGAAGAGCATTGTTCCATAGTATATTGTTTCATACTATGGAACAATGCTCTTCTCCAGACTGAGGGACTGACCACCTATGTTTGAGAATGTTGGTTCAACAATACTAGTTATAGGACATGTTATTATCGTACACAAGTGTTGAAAAATTGCAGCCGATTTGATGAAGCGTTCTCGGGTTATGAGCGATAATGAAATCGACAAGAGGAAGGAAAAAGCCAGGCAACATTTTAAAGGTACCGCTGTATGACCCTTAGGGGTTTAGCGCTTCGTTATGATTATAATTATAATATCAAAGTTACGACTTCGGGGATACCTAACAAGCCTCACTACTTCGATAACACTTGTGCATTATCGAAGTTCCTCGTCGTCCACAAGATGGGTGAGGGCTTCCAGTTTCCCCATGGGCGGCCTGTCCTGGTCTCTGGGTGTAGGCTTATCCAAAGAATGTCCAGAAAGGTATGCCAGGTGAGAAGGCGTGTATCCGTGTCCATTTACCAAGTGGGCTTCACTCCCTAGACTCACCAGTGTCCGCGCCTGTACGCCAAAAATACACATGTTAGGCTGGCGTAAATATTTTTGGTTTAACGTTCTACTTGCATTAGGTATGGCTGTTATTAAACATATTTAGAAAATACAGAATAAACAAAGCCACATGGAGTGGTAGATAAGACTAATGTATATCACTGACTCTCAACAATGATCCTCTTTAGCAGTCATTATTATTATAATCAAGGGGGAAGCGCTAAACCCGGAGGATTATACAGCGCCTGGGGGGGATGTGGAAGGCATTCAGGCTTAATTCGGGGAACTGGAGCACAGATCCAATTCTCTAAATCAAGAGCCCCTCACCAACATCAAGGAACCTTCCTCGAGGGATTCTTTAGCAGTCTGCCGAAAGGTTCTCTAGGTGGGTAGAAATGTGCCATGCTTTTTCGTTCAGCTTTATTTTCTACATGTGGGTTCCTTTGTGCTATTAACCAGCATTTATTATACCTTTGTTATTGAATAAAGAAATATAATACTAGATTTTTAAGACTACTGAAATAGTTTCGCCCACTGTGTAAGCAAAACGTTGTCAATAAAGAATCGCGCTATACTTCCTCTTTTTTCGTATCTTATACTGATTCAGCAGGAATCATTCTCTTCAGTTCTAATAACCGTTTGTACAATAATTTTTCTTTTCTGTGCAATATCAGGCACTAAATTTTAAATCTAGTTTTCACGTTTGGTCTTGTTCTGATTAATTTCTATTTGCCAAAACTTCTCTCTTGTTTTATTAATTAATTGCCTAATCACTGACTCATATAACCAAGCCTCAAAACAGTGTGACGTGTCCTTTATTATTACTTCTAACAATCATACTTTGATCATTATTTATTATTGCAATAAATTCTATTCACTGCTCGCACCCCTCAAGGAAGGTTCCTTGATGTTGGTGAGGGGGCTCTTGATTTAGGGAATTGGATCTGTGCTCCAGTTCCCCGAATTAAGCCTGAATGCCTTCCACATCCCTCCCCCAGGCGCTGTATAATCCTCCGGGTTTAGCGCTTCCCCCTTGATTATAATAATAATAATCACTGCTCACAGTTGTTCTTCAGTATTCATCTGCATTATACGAAATATATTTTTCATTGTTGTCAGTGTATTTATTATTCTACATTCTCCAATTCTCAAGAATTTGTACTACCTTTAGTATACATAATTACTAGATTATTGTTAGTTACTATATGTACTACCTCAGATTATTTACTGTTACTAGCTTACTATTGGTAATAATTATAAGTTACTTAATAATTACAAGTTACTTACACATAATTAGTTTTTTGTTAAAGTCCTTTCTAAAATTTACTCTTATACGTTTAAAGATATATTTTGTCATTTATGTTAATGTAAAAATTAATAATTTTGTACCAAAAGAACCTTAAACTTAACTAACGTTATTTTAACAAGCGCAATTTAATTTAGCCTAATCCAGCTATATACATTTTACATAAGTTTACAACAATTTAATAAATAGGCACAATGAAATATATTTTTTTCGTTGGGTTCAGAATGATTTTTTCCGAAATTATTGCATACACAAGGATCATTGTCCTTGCTGGCCGTTCTCACAGACCAAGTCTTCTAAATTAAAAATAAATATTACAAGATTAAGAACATGTAAGTTACACAGGAATGTGTATCTCGGATGTTGGAAAAAAAAAAACTAGCAATCCTGACAATATGGAAAACTTTCAACAGGCCTCCGTTTCACACTGGATGGTTGTTGTGTACCAGCCTGATACTTTGTCGGTCCTGTTTAGCGCTTCCCCCTTGATTATAATAATAATAATAATTTGTTGGTCCTTCATTATGGAATATATCCTTCAACATACTAAATGTCATTCAAAAATCTTTGGTAAGACAAGACTTATGAGAAAGTCTCTGTACACATGCCGCCCCTATTCACCTCGCAGCAGTTACTTGGGTGTTATTTGTTGGTCAAACGTTTAGTTGGCGGGACTATGATTAAGCGAGGGTATATTGCTAAAATAAACTTAGCTTTCAGCACTGAGTTGGAGAACTTGGGGATGAACTCTTACTTCATAATCAATATAAAGAACCTTTTTTTTTTTTAATTTAGCAAGCAAGACAGTCGAAAAACTCTCATGCTTGAGAGCACAGGCTGCAAAACTGTACTATATGAAACACAGGTTCGATCATATTGGGATAATACACCGTACTAAATATCCCGCCCCCCCCCCCTCCTTTCTTTTTCTACCTGTCTTATCACCATAATCCATCTGGGTTATTCAGGACACGCTCTTAAAACTCGATCCTCGATCCACGCTAACATTCATTTTGCACTTATTAACTTTGGTGGAGGAAGAGAACTGCTCAAGATGCTAATCTTTAATCTTAACTTGTCCGTGTTAGACTTGTCATTGTAGCAGGTCGTTCAACATCAGAGATGATTTCCTTGCTGTTATGCATAAAGTAATTAGAACAGAGCTCTAGGTCTCGAGGCTATAATACCTAGCTTCATGGATAACTCATAATTTTACCATTCTGTGCAGTCCTCGTCAGCCTCACTCCGGCAGTAACCTTCCTGAAGAGCATCACTTCATCATGGCTGACGTCCTACCTGTATCAGGCTCCGCTTTCAAGTTGTCCCAGTGGTGTCAAGAACAGTATTCAAGCTGACGTCTCAACAGTGTCAAAATCTACTTCAAGCTGACGTCTCAGTGGTGTCAAGGACCGTCTTTAAGCTGACGGCCAAACCATATCAACCACTATTTTCAAGTGCCATTCTTCTTTTTCATCGTAATTTTTTTTATGACAGATTCCGGCTGACGAGAACGTCTCCCAGGAGGAAGCAATGACCTCCTTCCCCTCCCTCTCTCTACCCGTGGGTCCTCATTCATAGTCTTCTTCACCCCCCTCCCCCATCCCTCACCTCCCCCGGGTATTCCTGTGCTTGTATGAGGTTGCTTATTAAAGGTGAAGGCAGCAGCTGGAGATGTTTGGAACACTTCAGCTGTTTAATTCAGGGTTTTAGTTAATTTTTTTTTTATGGTGGGGTGGACGTTCAACTCTTGCTATTTTCTCGTCAGGGCATTGTGGTGTTTGAGCAAGTTTTAAGGGTCATCCCAAGAGCGGCCTTTTAGAGAGATTTCCTTTTTTTCGGTGGTCGGTCTCTCTCTCTCTATCTCTCTCTCTCTCTCTATCTATCTATCTATCTATCTATCTATCTATCTATCTCCCCCTCCTACCTCGCGTATTTCCCCTTATCTTATTTCTGCTTGTATCACGTCCGCTTTATTCACTTTTATTTTTTCCTCTTAATTTGCTCTTAAATGTATGACTATCTTGTTTATTATATTATCTTCCCCTACATTTATTTCCCTTATTTTGCATATGTTTTTCCTCCCAGTGCCTCTACTTTTCATCATCTTCCTTTCAGTTATCTTATTCCACTAATCCAGCATTCACCTTTGTCGCAACACTATCTCGCCCCTCGTTTCTCACTAACCTCCCCTAAACTTAGTTTCCCTGGCTGCTCCCTGACCTTCCCTACAGCTCGTGTTTCCTCTCCTCTTCCCTGGCCTTTTCTACTTCTCGTGTTCTCTTCCATGACCTTCCCTACACCTCTTCGTGTTCCCCCCTCTCATCCCTGACCTTCCTTACACTTCCTCAAGTGTTCCTCTCGCTCTTTGACGTGTGTGTGGGACGCGTCCCCTCAGCCAGGGCCGCGCCAGTCTCTCTAGGTAACCACCTCAGTCACCCACAATGCAGCAGGCAACTTAAATCTGGTCTTGAACTTGATCTTGAACTTGTACTTACACCGCATTTGGCCGTGGAGGCCCCATCCTAGAGGCCTGCTTGTGGCGCCGCCGCCACCGCCCCAGCTGCGCCTGTCCCGCCCACCTGGCGGTTGCGCAGGCAGCCGCCCTTACCCCCCAGGCAACCGCCCTCATCGCCCCACCTCCCTGCTCATGAGCCATCAGGAAATTGATCCGCAAAAAAAACAAAAGCAGGATGACGGTGTGGTGCGCACAGCAGACATGCTACTGAGGGAGGGAGAAGGGGTGACGGAGGACGTGGGGAAGAGGGGAGAGAGGGGGCGATGTCTGGAGGGAAGGACATGTACGGCCCCGTCTGGCAGCAGCGGTCGAGGATAGGGGAAGCATGCAGGTGTAGCGAGTGCAGGTACTGTAAGACAGATGAGCCTTGCTAACAACACACCTGTCTACTACCTTTGCTGAGTGGCGGATTAGCAAGCTGTTTACTTGCCTTTATATGTACTCACTTATATGTGGGTTGCAGGAGCAGTCTTAGCTCCTGGCCCTGCTTCTCAGCTTGCCACTTCTCAGGCTCACGCCCTCCTGGCCTTGTGGGCTCTGTCTTACCTGTTCTTAAAGTATGTATGGAGTTTGTCTCCACCACTTTGTGTGTGAGAGTGAGTTGGTTACCATTTTGTCTAAGGCATTTGTCGATAAGACACTTTGCATATGTGTGTACTCAGTTGTACTCACCTAATTGAGGTTGCAGGGGTCGATTCATAGCTTCTGGCCCCGACTCTTCGCAGGTCGCTACTAGGTCCACTCTCTCCCTTCTCAATGAGCTTTATCGAACTTCTTAAAGCTATATATGAATCCTACCTCCACTGCATCACTCTCCAGATTGTTCCACTTCCTGACAGCTCTATGACTCGTACTGAATACTTTCTAATCTCTGACTCGTCTGAGTTTTCAACTTCAGTTGTGACCCCTTGTTGTGTCCCATCTCTGAAACATTCTGACCCTATCCACCTTGTCGATTCCTCTCAGTATTTTATACCAGGCCGCTGATAAGTTTGCTCTCCTGGTTACATGGGCGTATCATACTTATTCTTAAAACTATGGATCACGCCTCTACCACTTCACTGTCTAGGTCACTCAACTTCATGGCCTCTGTAAGGCTAAAAAAGTGTTTCCTAACATCCTCGTGACTCTTCTGTTTTTAATATCAAGCTGTATCCCAGTGGTCATTAGACTGGCATCTCAAATAGGCTC